CGGTGTCGAATCGTACTGTGGTCAAACGGAACACGCCCGTACTGAATCTATTGCGAACTCTTGATACTGGTCTGAGTGGGCGGTAGAGTAAAAAGATCAAGTTCGCTTTTAAAACACTCACACGAGTGAGTATGGAAAAAAAGACAGTTTACTTCGTCTACAAGAATGTATCGCTTACGATTCGTTTCTTGCTCACGCGGCGGTTGCTAGTTTTTGTCGCGCGCTTCTTCTTTTTCTTCCGAATCCTTTTACTCGTTGAACGTTTAATTGCTCGAGTTTTCTTTTTTCTCCGCACGGAAGCCAATTTTTTGCTGGTACTACTAACACGGCGGCGACGCTTGATTGTAAAGTGGACGAAGAGCTCACCTGGGTTAAACTGGCCCGGGCGTTTCTTTGCAAGAGATATATATCCCAACCCTCGCATTAAGATAGAGTTATTTTTTCTTTTACTTGTTGTTTGAAATTGTCACATGATTCTTTGAAACGACTGGTAACTGCTTCTTTTAGCTAAATATTGTTATCTCCCACATCGTCTATTATTCTCACACCGGCGCGTAAAGTTTCTTTTCCGATCGCGCGCGCGCTTCGCTAGCCAGGTAGGGAAGTACCCTTTTGACCAATCCGCTGAGAAAGCTTCCGATACCGTGGCCACGCTGATACGTCGATCCCGTAAAAACTCTCGGAATGCCGCCCCTGTTCTATATCTCGTAATATTCCATATAATAAGCCATATTCTAATCAAATACGCGTCTAAAGTGTAACGTTACTGTCAACGTGCCAAATTCGAATGGAATAAATTTATCAAACTGATCTCTCATATCTATTTCTATCACGCGGAAATTTGTTTTACAAAGCGGAATATACTTTCTAGACGAGTAATGTTCCGCCTGATTAGAACCGTACTTATTCGTGGTATTATTAGTAACTATTTGAAAAAGCGGTGTTAGCGCATTTCCGGTTATGTATGGCTCGCAAATGTCGCAATAAACAAATAAATTGTCGGGAAGAGCACGGGCCAAGCTGACTGGTTCAAAACTATCGATACCGGCAACCCTGTCTACTACGAAAGGTGTATTAACAGAAGATGTTTCAAATCCGAGTACACGACGCAATTTGTCGCTAAGTTTTACACTATGAATTTGATTCTATTTGTCTTCTTTACATGTAAGCAATAAAGAAACTTTATTATAATATAGCGGATCTTGCGACCATGTAACATGTGAGTTTTCTCGAGTACACGAATGATTTATAGCTTCTTTAAGATCAGCTTTTGAAAAATAAACTCCTGACAATATTGGAATGTTAACTGGCGAAATATCTTCATTAGAAAAGGTATTTGCAAGCGTTATCAGGGCTTCATCCTCGCGTAAATGTAAAAAACTAGAAGGAAACTGAATCTCGGTGAGAGTAACTTCCCATTTTCTCTGCAAATCTATACGGCGCGGTAATTCCGTAGTAAAACACGATGTGGTGTTGTGCGGGAAGTAAAGCATACTGCTATTGCTCGGGAGAACTACGAAAAAGTGTTCCTTTATTGTCATCATCATTGTTGCCATCATTGTCGTCGCCTTGTGAAAGCGTAATTAAACTCGAAACCGGAATCCACGAGTCGAATTTAGACGGATAACCCCGCCAACTGACTAGCAGTTTCCTATTACATCTCTGACCTTTGCTTTTTATTACCTGATAAACGATGAAAGTTTCTTCTTGTAGATTTTTACCAACAGGAGACAGTTCTTGTTCGTAGAAAATTCCGTTTATAACATTATCCGCTAAATCACTCAGTTCGTAAACGCGCGGATTTTGCCACTCGAGAACACGATAAATTCGAAATATCTTTTTGCTTCACTTGGCCTTGTATCTCTTGTCAAAGGCGGCTTTCGCTCTATTGACAAGTACGAGATCACCAACGGATTATATAGCTGCTTTCGTTCGCTGTTTTTTCCAACGATGCACAGTGGGATAAAAGTCCGAAAACCTGGCCAAAACTCAATTTTGGAATTCGAATAAAACAAGCGTAGTTTTATATTGGAGACAAGTTGAAGAGTCTCTAAGTGAATTATATACAACTTTTATCAATTAATTTTGATTTTACAAGGCAATAAAATTGGAAAACGCACTGAATTTTTCTGTGCGATATATATTATATTTTCGACAAATCCAAGATTATTTGTCAATTTTAAAATGTAAGTAATTTTTGGGATACATATATGAATGACTGTTGAATGAAAATATAAGCATAACAATAACAATAGTTTTTTGTTTCTTTTATAAACAAGGTGTTTTTCATCACATTTCTAAAATTTTTCCACTTATGCAAATTTTCGTTTCTATGACACACGACAA